ATACTGCCCAAATGAGTTTGGAACAGGGGCACTGAGTTTCCTGTTCTTGGGGACTCCTTTTCCTGGTTTTATTCGTACCCCCAGCACGATAGTACAACTCGTCTGCTTGACGATCGGAGTAACCTATCGTGTGTTGGCACGACTTCTTAGGTATAACATCATCGTCATCAGACAATAATATTTCCTTCTGAGGGGGAACTACCTTCTTCGGGCTTTCAAAAGTCACGCGCCTCGAAACATGTCTTTTTGGGCGTGAGTTCTCGGCGGGCTCCTGGACTTCAATGCACAAGTTGGTGTGCATGACCGCCCTGGTCTCTTTGTCATGTTGGAGGTGACGGTGACCCCCAGTATGTTGCGTCGTCCGGGGCTTTTTCATCGGGCCCAAACGATCTTGAACGGGAGCTTTGCCTCTCTCGTCGGGAATCGGACCGAGGCGCTCCAAGACTGGCTTCTTCCTTTGGGACGATTCTGCATGATCTCCCGGAGAAGCTGCTGGAATTATCGGCGATATGGGTTGTTTCGCCGGTGGTTGAATTTTGGTAGGAGGCTGCTTCGGCCTCCACACTTGGCGGGTTGGTGGCGGCTTCTTGGCCACTCTTCCTTTCTTCAATTCTTCGGCCTTCTGCACGAGGATTCTTGCTTGTGCAAGCAATGCACGGCGTTTGTGAATCCGCTCTTCGAGTGTCGAACGGTTCCGTTTGACCCGGATCCATTCGTTCGTCGGCGGCTTGGAGGAACCGCCAATCCCACCCCGCATGAACTTTTAGTGTTTTGTAGTAAACCATCATGAACTTTTAAAATCACACTAAAACCCCTAAAAACTTTTGTAGAAAACCCCCCATGAGATTTTTGGTAAATTACACTAAGTTCCCATGAACTTTTAAAATGCTTTTTATGTTATTTTTTTGTTCTAATTTATAGGGATTATCTACAAAACTCAGAAACTTCATGGGGGTTTCTACAATTCCAAAACGTTCTTGGGGTTTAGTCTGAACTTCAAAGTTCAAGGGGGTTTACTGCAGACCAACCATGCAGGCACGAGCATAACACTTGTGGATATGTAATCAATGAGGAGGTTATGAAAATTTTAGTTATGCATGGATGTGTTGGAGTGTATTTTAACATAGTAACACACTTTTATAATAGTATTAGATGTATTATAAGTTTCAAATACGTAATAGGAATTGATTTATATCTCTCAAATGAACAAATACATGTGTCATGATCAAAAGGTTTGTGCTTCAAACAGCTGTCAAGAATCCAAGGCTCCATTTGTGTAGAACCCCGGAAATTTTTATATAAATATATATGAATTATTAGTAAATAAATAATTCTTTTATGATAAATAGCTTGAGGTCAATTCTGGACTTCTTCAAACCAACGAGCCTTTCTCCTGGAGGAGAACTTCTTGGACTTGTGGGGGGAGGTTGATCCAGACGAGGACGAAAGGTACTCCTCGAAATTGGCCTGGTCGAATTCGTACTCGACCTCCTCCTCGACCGGGATCGAAATCCGCGGCTGCGACGTGACGATCTCGGCAGCGAGATCGTTGGCTCCCACTGTGGTCGCCAGATTGTTCGCGGTGAAAATCGTAGCTTTCTTCATTGAATTCATTGCATCTTTGGTAACAGTTTATCGGTTACAGAAAGATCCGGTCTTTTTTAGATCCGGTTCCAACGAAATCAAAGAAAAAAAAATAAATTACAACTTTCTCCTTTTGAACAAATCGCGAGCTCCTATTTTGCGGTCGCTCGCTTTGTGTGGGTTCTTTGCCGACGCCGGGGTTAATCCGTGGACCACCGCGCGATCTAGATCCGGTCGGATCTACACGATTCGACGGCAGATCAGTCGACACATCAGTCGACTGACTGTATCGGTCGACACATCAGTCGACTGATACGCTGATTTTTAGTTTTTCAGGTTTCGGGTCTATTTTATTTTGGTTCGGGTTTGGGTCGGGTTTAACTGTATATATATATCCCCTCTCACCCGAAAACACCCCCTCTCACCTTCAGACCAGAGAAAACCCTAGCCCTCTCTCCCCTATCTAAAACCCTAGGTTGTTCTTGGTGATTTGGGGGAGAACTTGGAGGATTTTCGGCGAAGTGGACGCTCGCCGAGAATCAGATCTGAATCTTCAAGTCCTCAAGTCTTCAAAACTCCAAACTCGATCTCCAATTCGGCAGACTTTCGGCTCTCAAAGTTCCAACCTTTTCAAATGAACCACCCTTGGCCTATTTATAGGCACCCAGATCTGTGCCTAGGCACAGATCTGGGCTGAGGTGGCTCGGCCACCAGTACATCTCGCCCAACCTTGCCCTATTTTTCTAAACGTTTTCAAAGAGTTTTTATGAGTTTTGATGAGCCAAAAATGTAATTTTTGTACAAAGAATTGATTTTTATAGCATATAGTGGAAGATTTATGATTTCAGAATATTCAAAACCCACAAATGTTTATTTGAATCGGAGATCTAGATCTGAAACACTTTTACAAGAGATTTAACATGGGTTTTGTTTTAAAATGTTTTAAAACATAAATACACATGTTTAGGGTTTTGTTTATGTATTCACACATGAATTTTTTGTTTCAGTTTAGTTCACACATGTTAATATCAGTATTTTCATGTTTGGGATTGATGAGAATGAGTTTAGATCGAATTTGGTGTATATAGCAACCTGTGCAGAGTTTCTGCAGCCTATCGGTCGACTGATCAGTCGACCGACGGGCAGATTTTTCAGCCATCAGTCGACTGATCAGTCGACTGACGGGCTGATTCTGCTTTTCTCAGCTTCTCAGTCGACTGGTCAGTCGACTGGTGAGCTGAGGCTATGTTGTCTGAGCCTGATCGGTCGACTGATGAGTCGACTGATGTCACCAGTCGACACATCAGTCGACTGATGAGCTGTTTTACAGATTCTTGATCTGTTTGAGTTGTTTTTTTTGGGTCGCCTCGATAACCTGACCCTAGCTTATCATGTTAATGACCTATCTGTACATGTGGGTTGGCTTTTGACACAAGTATAGACATGTACACCGAGATGCGTGCAAGTTTAGATTTATGTATATCTGTCTGCATATACTTCTCACTGTTACACAGTCCTCGTGTTGGACTATAATCCATAAAAGTCCTCGTGTTGGACTATAATCCATAAAAGTTCTCGTGTTGGACATTTGCCACATATTCCATGTGTTTGGAAACCACAGTATTTAGTTCCTGCATCGGACATATTTTCTTAATTTGGTATGTGACTTTCTCATAGGAGTTCATAACGTGACACTTATGTAGATTATAACATGACATACATGTAAGTAATAACATGATGCTCATGTAAGCTATGACATGGCACTGTACTTATGCTTTGAGATTAGTTGTGTTTTCTTTATTATTGTTTCCTGTACTAGAACATCGGATTTAGTGTTTAGGGATCTACAATTTGAGATATAAGGTATATACATGAGGGTTTCCTTGTTTGGATTATTTCGCTCGACGTACCTATGCTCGTGTTACCTATGCTCGTGTTGTAGATTTCTAAATACTAAAACCCCCTTTTAGTAAGATTAATGATTTTAGATCTATTATGTATTAACTGTATTTTCTTATACAACGAGCCATGTTCCCTTGGGGTTGGTTGTGATGTTGCTCGCTAGCGCTTTGACGCTCGTTGTCCCTCCCCCTTTCAGGTAACGAGCCAGGAGCCCGGAGAATCGCAGGTTGATGGCGGCACACGTTAGTGTTCAGCTGTCTATTTTAGTTATGTTTTGTTTTGGAGCTCCACTGTAGTTTTGTTTAGACATTTGAGAGTCTTATTCTAGAGGTTGTAAAGGTTGTGTGCCTTATTTCCCCTTGTCAGATATTTGTATTTGAGACTCGTTGAGTATTCCAGTTTATCTACTCAGATCTTGACTATGTATTTCAGTATGTTGGATGATGAGACACTTATGTGATTATTATTGTTTCATCAGTATTTCTTGCATTATTCTTTACTTGCTTTTGTACCTACACCTGTTGTTGACTCTACTAGATAGATGTTACTTGTGATGGTGAAACATGTTATTGCACGGTTTGGTGTATGGCAGGTTTGACATTCTTGGCTTCACCTTAGACTGCAGCCTTGTGTGAACCCAGGGGCGTCACAATTTGGCAAAATGTTAAGAGAAGAGTTGAGGGAGTTTAACCCCCTTATTAATATTTAAATGAGTTAAGTTGGTCAATGGGTTAACAAACCCTTTACAGTTGTCAAAGTTAGTTAGCTCCCTCCTCATTACAAGGGTTAATGAAATCCGCCTAAAGAAGAGGATTAAGAGTTACTCATTCTCGAAATAAGAAATGAAACTTTAAAAAAGAATATACTTCAGGACTTTTATGGCAACTAGCCTCCTTAACCCTTCTCTATTTCCCAGAAACGAAAAATTAACCCTTCATCTTAACTACTAAATCCAAATGGAATTAAATATATGTACCCTATGGTGAAGGATTAGCAACATTAATCCTTCTCCTTTTAACCCTTAACTCCTTGCCAAACAGCGCGCAAGTGACAGACACCGAGTTACAATACGTAACTGTAAGAGCAAGTGCAGCAGCCTCTCAAGAAGGCTCCTAAATCCTATGTGGCAAGAAAAAGCTCCCAAGTCATTCCAACAAGCTCCCAAGGAAGCTCTCAAGTCCTAGTTGGCTGTGGGGCCACCATGGAGCTCCTAAGAGCTCCACAAATTTGTGGAGCACTTGGGAGCTCCTAAGGGGTGAGGGCTCACTAAAAAATACTTTTTAATTAGATTTGTTGTTTTAAAAAATATTTATAAAATGTTAGAGATAGAAGAATAGATTTTTCAAATAATATTTATGCTCCTAGTTGAGAGTTTGTTGGAATATTTTTCCTAGTATAAAACTCCTAAGTGGGCCCCATGCTTGAGAGCACTCCAACAAAAGCTCCTTACTAGGAGATTGCTACACTTGCTCTTAAGGGCATTTTGCAAAAGATCCACTCTTGCTGCTCCCACATAAGATTCTGAGTATTGCTGAGGTTCAGCGAGCTTAACATGCAGTCAATGACAAAGCTAAAATACCCTTTATGATGAAATAATCTGATTTTGAGAGAGAGAGAGGGAGGGAGAGTGCAGTTGTGTGAAGAAATGGAGAAGAGAATGATCCAAATCCTCCGAAAATGCAGAAACTTGAGAGAATTAAAACAAACCCATGCCAATATTCTAGTCCATGGCCTTGGAGAGAGCAACATGGTCCTTCCCAAGCTCATTGATCTCTCTTCCACCTTCAAATCTCTTGACTACGCTACCCACATCCTTGCTCACTCTCATCGTCCTAATACAGTCGTTTTTAACTCCATGATGAAGTCCTTCATTGAGAGAAATCATCAAAACGAGGCATTTTTAACCTATAGCAAAATGAGGGGTTTGGGTATTCCACCCAATTATTTCACTTCCACCATTCTTGCTAAAGCTTGTGAATCAATGGGGTCTTTGGAGTACACAAGTGGGATTCATGCCCAGATAATAAAATGTGGATTTGGATGTGATGTATTTGTTCAGAACACCCTGTTGTACGTGTATTCAAATTGCGGTGATTTGAACTTAGCCCGTCAGGTGTTTGATGAAATGCTTGAAAGAGATGTGGTTTCATGGAATTCTATGGTTGGAGCTTACATGGCCCATGAAGACACCGACCAAGCTATGACTCTCTTTGAGTTGATGCCAACGAGGAATTTGATTTCCTGGAATACTTTGATCTCGGCTTTGTGCAAGGCTGGAGATATGAAGTCTGCACGATCTGTGTTTGATCGGATGCCAATAAGGGATGCTAATTCGTGGAATGCTATGATTACTGCATATGTGACTTGTAACGATATTTTAGCTGCAAGATCGATTTTTGACCAAATGAAGGACAAGGATGTTGTTTCTTGGACTGCTATGATCTCTGGTTACACCAAAATCGGAGATATGGAGTCTGCGAGGTCTCTCTTTGATCAGATGACAGTAAAAAATGTGATCTCATGGAACGCGATGATTTCTGGATACAGCCAAAATAGTCGGTTTGATGAGGCATTATCTATGTTTCAAAACATGTTGCTTGATGGGTTGTTTCTACCTGATGAAGCTACGCTCGTCAGTGTTGTGTCAGCCTGTTCACAGCTTGGTAGCCTTGAACATGGGAATTGGGTTTATTCATATATAAAGAAGAACAACCTAAACTTAACAATGCCATTAGGAAACGCACTTATAAACATGTTTTCGAAGTGTGGAGATATCAGGACTGCAGAGTATGTATTCAATCAGACGACCATGAAATGTGTAATTACATGGACAACGATGGTGTCAGGCTTGGCCTTCAATGGGCAATGTAGAGAAGCTTTGGCTCTCTTCAAGAGAATGTGTGCTGAAGGAATAGAGCCTGACGACATTATATTCATAACCGTTCTTTCTGCTTGCTCCCATGGAGGCCTCACTGAAGAAGGCCAAGAGATTTTCAATCTGATGATAAAACATTACATGATCAAACCAAGGATAGAACATTATAATTGTATGATAGATCTCCTCGGTAGAGCAGGAAAGTTCGAAGAAGCAATTGAGTTCATAGAGAGCATGCCATTTGAGCCTACTGCAGTTATATGGGCTACTTTACTTAGTTTTTGCTCGGCTAATGTTAATAATGAATTTATAGAAGTTTTGAGTCAGAAGATAGCTAATTTAGATCCATCGAATCCTGGATATAGAGTGTTGATTTCAAATTCGAGTGCTCTAAAGGGAAGATGGAATAATGTGATGGAAGTTCGAGGATCGATGAGGAGGGAGGGGATTGAGAAAATGCCTGGTTGCAGTTCAATTCAAATTGGGAGAGAGGTGCATGAGTTTCTCGTTAAGGATTCAAAGCATAAGAGGAGGAAAGAGATTTATGAGGCTTTAGATGAATTAACAGAAGTGATGAAAAAAGTAAGGTATTGACTGGATGGATGGGATTTGGAAAACTGACTGATGCATACTCTCTTCATACAAGAAAAAGGATACACTCTTTGTTGTTTTCTTGCCAGGAACCTGATCAAATTAAATTCAGCACAGGTTTTTTATTGCCCTTGACATTACATCTGACCAAAATTGTATGATATGCTTCACTATTATATGTGTAGAATGAAGAAGAGTTCAGCTGGCCGTAGATGGAAGAAAGCTACCGTTAGAGCACATATTGTTGGATATTTTATTAAAGAAAAGGCAATTTAACATGTTTTACATATTTTATTTTCCTCAGCAATTAATACGTGCATAATGGCTATATAATTATGGCGAACGTTACCGTATTAATTACGGGTTTATTGCGTAACGGTCGACATTATGGCGTACATTACTGTATTGATTGCTAGGATTTGTAACGGCTCTCTAAGACCCCTATATAAGTAGCCCTTCACATTCTCAGAAAAAGAACAAGAAAAACAACAAGTCTCTTCTCTCCTCTTCATATTATTTCTTCATAGTATCAGTTTTATTTTTGGGCAACTTTCTTCATCTGAGCAGAAGCTCTGTACTCTCGCCCGAGTACAGAAGCCGGCCGATTCCGGGGGTTTTTACTGCTAGGGGAGAGGGGATCATCTGTGCCAGGGCGATAGGCGGGTCCTCAATCTTCTAGGACAGTGAATACACGACTGCTCCCGATCAGACCAGATTTAATTATTTATTTTATTTGGATTTATTTCATGCTATAATTTTAATTATTTGATAAATTTCAAACAATCTAGAAGATTGACTATTTTAATAAGTTAATTTATAAATCCGAAATAAAAATAATTTATAATATTCTGTTCATTCAGAAAATTAATCCAGAAAATGAATCTGAAAAAAAAAGGTGTATGTATTTTCACTGAAAATATAAGCTTGGAAGTATGCACCCCTAAGTTACATGTTTCCACATTGTTCATGTAGTTAACATCTGCTGTCAGTTTCATACAATAATTTACTTTTCAGATATATCACAGGTGTACTCAAGAATGTGCCACAAAATCACAGCAAAACAAATACAGTTAATGTTCGTTACTGTAGTTGTTACTATTTATTAATGTAGCTTTAACGTTTCTACTCCGTTCATTTCTGTAGCCGTTTTGTTCAGAGAGAATTTCTTTCATACGAGAGAAAAAATCATCTTTTTTGTCACTGTTCATTTAGATATATTCATATATCTGCTGTTAATATTTCTTAAAAAGTAAAAATAAAAATATTCTGTTTCGGTTACCATTCATCCGAAATAATTACTTCCCATATTTATTTGTTTATTTATCTATCTAGTAATTAATAGTATTAATTTTCTATGGAAATGGAGATCGTAACAAATGAGCTCAGCTCGTCTTTTGTTGTTTCATGTATGAACCGCAACAAATGAACATATTGTATATTAACGGTTTTAATTATTGATAAATACTACATTTATTGTATTTATTTAATTGCTGTTAATTAAAAATAAAAACTATACTGTTCATTTTATTAAAAAATGTTACTGTTCATTTAAACAGTTTTGGTTCATAATGCTGAAAAAACTTCTAAAGTTAGAGCAAGTATCAGATTGCAAGTTACGAATATCAAAGAACCTTTATTGATTTCTAAAAGCCTAGTTCATATTTGTTAGAATCATCTAAAACCTACCCTTATCCCCTTGTGCTAGTGAATATGCACGCATTTGAAACATGCTATAAATTTGCAGCAGTGTACATTTTTTATTCTTGAAAGTCTCATATACATGGTTTTGACAAGTGAACAAAATCTGGATATATATATGCTTTGAAGTATTTAAATTTTTTCATAGTTTAATGCTTTCATTTCTTTAACCTATCAATATGGTATATTTTATTATTAATAATTCCATACTTTGGAGTGCTTATACATCTAATAAGCTTAGTACAGAAGTTGGTAAAAGTGAATGCAGATTTGTTCTATAACTTATGTGGAAGTTGTCTGCAGCAGGTATATCTATCAACAGATTTGTTCTATAACTTATGTGGAAGTTGTCTGCAGCAGGTATATCTATCAATGTTATTTACTTTTGTGGGCCTATAAAGCATTTTTATATTCTGATACAAATCTCATGCCTCTGGTTGGCTTGGAAAAGTCACGGAAACAACAAATTATACGAATTCTCAGTTTTACCCTTGCAAATTCTCTATTCGAATTAAATGTTTGCAGGAATTTTTTTTTTGAAGTTACTATTCACATATACTGTTAAGGAACAAAAACTCATTGAGTGAACCGATTCAAGTTTTCTTGGATTAGTTGGTATCTAAGACAAGGTTTAGGGGGTTGTGTAACGTACTCTGCAAGGAACAAGATACTTAATTGATCTTTGATCAACCTCTATTACTATCCTTACCTGGCTAACTACCCGGGTAAAACTTTAATCTTTTCGCTTTAGGAGTTTTTGGTTTGGAATAAGAGGTCCGGAATTATGAGAAAAATTCATATGCATTTATTTAATTATGCTTCCTGCATCATATATTGCCTAATGATAAATGATCAATATATGAGCGAACCAAATCAAAGAGGTGCATTTTTTTTAAATTCTATTTTATATGGTGGATTATATTTCAAATCTTCAAATGTAAAGTTCATCTCTTTTATTGCGTTATGATGGATATTGCAATTAATGTTCATATGTCCTTTTAGATAACTTGCATTTGTTACATGATTAATTACAAGGTTTTCTACAAAAATGCACTTGTAAAATTTAAAGCACGTATGTACAAATAATAATTTTATTATTATTATTATTATTTGTATAAGAGGTGGTACTAGAAAATGGCAACATAAATTTGGAAGGTCTTTTTTGTAGACAACCAATTTAAATTTGGAAGGTCTCTTTTGTAGACAACCAATTTAAATTTGGAAGGTCTCATTTGTAGGCAACCAATTTTAATTTGGAATGTCTTATTTGTAGGCAACCGATTTAAATTTGGAAGGTCTCATTTGTAGGCAACCAATTTGTAACCTGTTATAATAGAAGAATTTTTAAAAAATTTTATGCATATGAATTATGAAGTATGAAATATATTGTTCTCTTGAATGCTCTGCATGTATCTATTATTAATTTCATTCATGTATTTGCATATGCATAACTGTAGAATTTTAGTTCCACATTAGTTTGAAATGTTCAGATATTAAGGTCAAATCCTAATCTGCACAAACACTATGATCTTTTATGATCATAGACCATGACCTAATGTTAATTTCAAACAATATGATGGACTAATTACAAAATAAGAGCTTGATAAATGAATACAACGCCTGCTAGGCAAAGTTGTGATTCTAGACTTTGTAAAGTTTGTGAAAAAAATATTGATGACCCTTTGACTAAGGGATTATCCAGGAGTGTGGTTCTGGATTCATCGAGGGAGATGGGGTTAAGCCCATAGATGAGGTCACTGACAGCGGCAACCCAACCCTTATTTGGAGACGTAGTCCCAATGTTGGTTCAATGTGATAGAAACAAGCTGGACTAGTGACACTCGTGTGGAGCATCGACCCAGATATATTCATATATCACTATGTATCTTGCGCTACTACCCCTTCTCTATGATGACGATGCTCTTATGATACAACTGGTTAGGCAGAGTTTTACTCTTAAAAAGTCCAACGTGTGTATTATGGGGGGTATTAAATAAACAGCTGTAGTACCCTTTGAGGACTTACCTACGTGAGAGGAACCGTGATGGCCGCGGTTAGGGGGGCTGGGCTAACCCCTAGAAACTCTCATGAGTCGGTTTATTGTGAGCATGACCTTTAACGCTCAACCCGCTTTGCTCAATAGATGAAGCGTATTATGTGTGTTTTCATCAATACCTGATTAAAGGGGCCTAATTCAAGGCCTAGTCCATTATGTTCCTCAGGTGGTGATAAACTCACTAAGGAAAGGTTCAAAGCTGGAAGCTACCTCTCCCGAATTCACGATACGAAAGGTTACCCAACCTATATTTGTTTTATGATTTCTTGATTTATTTATTGATTATTGATTATTGATTACTGAAAACTCAGTTAATATTGCCTTTGGGGGGGGGGGCTGTTGGATATTTTATTAAAGAAAAGGCAATTTAACATGTTTTACATATTTTATTTTCCTCAGCAATTAATACGTGCATAATGGTTATATAATTATGGTGAACGTTACCGTATTAATTACGGGTTTATTGCGTAACGGTCGATATTATGGCGTACGTTACTATATTGATTGCTAGGATTTGTAACGGCTCTCTAAGACCCCTATATAAGCAGCCCTTCACATTCTCGGAAAAAAAATAAGAAAAATAACAAGTCTCTTCTCTCCTCTTCATATTATTTCTTCATAGTATCGGTTTTATATTTGGGCAACTTTCTTCATCTGAGCAGAAGCTCTGTACTCGCGCCCGAGTACAGAGGCCGGCCGATTCCGGGGGTTTTTACCGCTAGAGAAGAGGGGATCATCTGCGCCAGGACGATAGATGGGTCCTCAATCTTCTAGGACAGTGAATACACGACTGCTCCCGATCAGGCCAGATTTAATTATTTATTTTATTCGGATTTATTTCATGCTATAATTTTAATTATTTGATAAATTTCAAACACATATAACCTATTAGTTCTCATTGCCTCGCGAGGTCCGATCGTTGTTCTACTCAATATCCAATCATTGCCCTCATTGGTTCCAGACAATATTAGATCTTGCCACGGTCTCAATCGCCGTCTCATCATCACCGTTGTGTAATTTTTTTTTGCGGTGCCGCTAGGTCAAGTTGCATGTGGTATTGCTCTTTGTCTTGATTTTAGTGTTAAATTAGTTGGCTTCGGGCAGGCCAAAGAGAACCCTTGGTGTGCTAATTGTTGGGGAGAACTTGTGTCTTAGCTTAGAGTTACTAGGGCTTAAATAGAATAGAAATCAATTTTAACCCAAAAGCTCCTGCTATTACGTACTGAGTTCAAACCCTATATAAAAATTAGCACTCTTCTTATCCTTTTTAATATGGTGAATGATTTTAACAACCTCCTCCCTTGAGTAGAACCAGCACCCATGAAGTAACTGCATGGTTACAGATATTCTTGGGATCACATATATGGACTTTTCACCGTGTGACTAGCAACATCTTTGTCTACATCAGCAATCATCCATGTCTACCTCCTATCATGCTAACTATTTTCTGATCTAAACATGACCTAGTCAACCTTTTGACACCTTCAGATTCATGCAAGGCCTATCCAGGTTAAAACCCTTGGTGGGTCAAAGGACTATGTGTTGTGGGCTTGTGGGCTTTAGCAGGGCCTTGGCCCACAGGGTATTGCTCTAGACTTGTGGGAGCCAATGCCCTATCTAGTCC